ATTTATTTGGGTCATTTCTCTTTTCTTTTTGATAGGTCTGGCCAGAGGTTTATCAGTCTTAATAATTCTTTCAGAGAACCAACTACTAGTTCTGTCCATCTGTTCTACTGTTCATTTAGTTTCTATTTCAATTGATTTTTGCTCTAATCTTTATTAATTCTTTTCTCCTGCTGGGTTTAGGCTTTTGTTGCTTTTCTTTCTCCAGCTCTTTTAGGTGTAAGTTTAGGTTGTGTATTTGAGACCCTTCCTGTTCTTGAGAAAGGCTTGTTTTGCTATGTACTTCCCTCTTAGGACTGCCTCTGCTGCATCCCAAAGGTTTTGAACAGTTGTGTTTTCATTTTAAAGGATTGATTTTAAAAAAAGAATTTTAAAAGCCTAATGTTCTCAATGAAGTTGTAAAGCATATGTACATTTTATCACTTTCCTGGTTTAACTGTCACTTTTTGAGTCTCAGGAGGATAAGTACCATTAAACAAAATAAATCATTGTATGGAAATAACTTTAAGGCCAAAATAAAGTTAAAACCTGAGAATTGACTTATTATATTTGAGTTTTAGTTTCCTCAAGACCTTCTTAATTACCAAATAAGTTGTCTAATTCTCATCTAAATGGACCTCTTCAGTTCTTTTTGGAAGTTTCCTGTTTTAAATTGTGTAGTGCTTTCTCTTAGCTTTATTTCTACTGGACAGCTCTCAATGTCCTTCGTATAAATTTTCTTCTGCTGGATCCTTAAGTATTGTTAAATATCTATGGTTTTCTTGTCTGTCCTACATTTCTTTCATTTTTTGTTTTCTCACTAGTTTTATATAGGTTCTCTGAAAGTTTTAGTGAGGCCTAGGAGGTTTTCAGATTTTGAGTTGCTGTATACTTGGTGCTGTTTACCCATCTCATGTTTCATTTTTTTTTTTTTAACTCAGGAATTGATAGATTTTAACTAATACCTACCTTTGAGAGAAGATTTCAACTTTCCCCCATATACAGATTTTCTGCTTGAGGTATTTTGAGTCTAATGGCCTCCCTCTTACAGAGTCTGGTATCAGGTACTCCCATGATTTTACCTTTTACTTAATAATTTGTTTTATGAATTTTTTGGACTGTCTTCTAACTAATATAATCCATACTGGTATTGTGTACTAGTAATATCCCAAGAGCTTTATAGGTATTGATTATTTTGATCTCACAAGAACACTATAAGGTAGTACTATTATTATCATCTCTATTTTATGGTTGAGGAATTGAAGTTCAGAAAGGTTGAATACCTTATCCAGGGCTACTCACATCAAGTAATGGAGCCAGGTTTTGAACTCAGGTAGTCTAACTTCAGAAGCATGCTTCTAAATATATATATATTTTCATAGTCTTCTGAAAGCCTTACTTGTAAGTATGTCAGGTACTTAAAATTTAGTGCCTTTAAACCTGAAGTCACTGTTTTCTCTCCTCCACTGTCCTCCCCCAAGCAAATATGCTCTTCTTTTTTACATCTTAGTTTTTATTTTATTTTTTTTTCTGGTTATTTACGCTTGAAAACTGAGTCATTCTAGATTACCATCTCCTCCTTTCCTCATTTGACCCCTGTATCTTACTGATTTGTCCTTTTAATTAACTATTGAATAAGTGCCTTCTACTCATTTTCATTGTCCCTTCTTAGTTGAAATTTGTTATGATCTCTCATTTGGAATAGTTTTTCATTCTGTGCTAGCTGGAACTGCACTTACCTTACTACTTTGTAACTGTCTTCTCTGTTAGACTCTGTTCTTGTAAATGTGGACCCTGAATTATGATTTTGTACTCTCAGTTCCTAGCTTAATATGTGACATACAATTGGTATACAATACATAATTTGTGAATGCATGAACTAACTTGTCATTAGACCTTAGTTTTTAAAATTGTTTTTCATTTTAATTCCAATACGATTTATATAGTGTTATATTAGTTTCAGGTGTACAATATAGTGCTTGAACAATTCTATGCATTACTCAGTGCTTATCATGATAATTACACTCTTAATTCCCTTCACCTATTTCACCCATCCTCTCCCCACTCTCATCTAATAACCATCAGTTTGTTCTCTATAGTTAAGAGTCTGTTCCTTGGTTTGTCTCTTTCTTTTTTTTCTGTGCTCATTTGTTTCTTAAATTCCACATATGAGTATAATCATATGGTATTTGTCTTTCTCTGACTGATTCGTTTAGCGTAGCATTATACTCTATAGATCCATCCATGTTATTGCAAATGGCAACGTTTTATTCTTTTTTATGGTTAAATAATATTCCATTATACATATAGATATGGATAGATCTAGATCGATCTATTTATGTATCTATGTATTGATGTATCTATGTATCCATCGATCTTATCTATAGGCTGCTTCCATAATTTGGCTATTGTAAATAATGCTGCAATAAACATAGTTGTGTATTTATCTTTTTGAATTGGTGTTTTTGTATTCTTTAGATAAGTACCCAGTAGTGGAATTACTGGATCATATGGTAGTTCTGTTTTTAATTTTTTTGAGGAACCTCCACACTGTTTTCCACAGTGGCTATACCAGTTTGCATTCCCACCAACAGTGCACGTGGGTTCCTTTTTGTCCACATCCTCACCAACACTTGTTTCTTGTATTGTTGATTTTGTCCATTCTTACATGTGTGAGGTGTTTTGTCATTGTAGTTTGATTTGCGTTTCTCATAATGAGTGATGTTAGGCATCTTTTCATGTGTCTGTTGCCTATATCTATGCCTTCTTTGGAGAAATGTCTTCATGTTTTCTTCCCATTTTTAATTGGATTGTTTGGTTTTTTGGTGTTGAGTTTTATCAGTTCTTTATATATTTGGGGTTCTAACCCTTTATCATTAGCACATATCTTCTCCCATTTCAGTATGTTGTCTTTTAGTTCTGTTGATTATTTCCTTTGTTGTGTAGAAGCTTTCTATGTTGATGTAGACCCAATTGTTTATTTTTGCTTTTGTTTCCCTTGCTTCAGGAGACATATCTAGAAGGATGTTGCTATAGTCAATTTCAGAGAAATTATTGCTTGTGCTCTATCCTAGAATTTTTATGGTTTCAGATCTCACATTTAGGCCCTTAATCTATTTCGAGTTTATTTTTGTATACAGTGTAAGAAAATGGTACATTTTCATTCTTTTGCATGTAGCTGTCCAGTTTTTTCAAAACCATTTGTCGAAAAGGATGTCTTTTTCCCATTGCATATTTTTGGCTTCTTTATCGAAGACTGACCATAAATTGTAGATTTATTTCTGGGTTTTGTATTCTGTCCCGTTGATTTATGTGTCTGTTTTTGTGCCAGTACCATACTGTTTTTTTTTTTATTTTAATTTTAATTTTTATTTTTTTGAGAGAGATCGAGCACAAGTGAGAGAGAGCAAAAGCAGAGGGGCAGAGGGAGAAAGAGAAGAAGGGTCCCCGCTGAGCAGGGAGCCCGATGTGGTGCTGGATCCCAGGACCCTGGAATCATGACCCGAGCTGAAGAAAGGCACTTAACCAACTGAGCCACCCAGGCGCCCCAGTACCATACTGTTTTTTGATTACTACAGCTTTGTAATACAAGTTAAACTCTGTAATTGTGATTCCTTCAGGTTTTTTCTTTTTCAAGATTGCTTTGGCTATTCAGGGTCTTTTGTGATTCCATACAAATTCTAGGATTGTTTGTTCTAGTTCTGTGAAAGATGTTGGTATTGATAGGGATTGCATTAAATGTCTAGATTACTTTGGGTAATTTAGCCATTTCAACAGTATTTGTTCTTCCAGTCCATGAGCATGGAATGTCTTTCCATTTCTTTGTGTCATCTTGAATTTCTTTGAAATGGTGTGCTTGTAAATGGGATTGTTTTCTTAATTTCTCTCTCTGCTTCTTCATTATTAGTGTATAGAAATGCAACAGATTTCTGTACATTGATTTTGTATACTGTGACTTCATGGTAGTTTTTTGGTGGAATATTTCAGGTTTTCTATGTACAGTATCATTGAAGTATCATTACCTGTAAATATTGAAAGTTTTACTTCTTCCTTAACAATTTGGGTGCCTTTTATTTCTTTGTGTTGTCTGATTGCTGTGGTTGGGACTTCCATTACTGTGTTGAATAAGAGTGGTGAGAGCGGACATCCTTGTCTTGTTGCTGACCTTAGCGGATAAGCTCTCAGTTTTTCTCCTTTGAGTATGATGTTTGTTGTGGGTTTTTCATGTATGGCCTTTATGTGTTGAGGTATGTTCCCTCTAAACCTGCTTTGTTAAGGGTTTTTATCATGAATGGCTGTTGTAGTTTGTCAGATGATTTTCTGTTTTGCAGTTTTTCTGCATCTATTGAAATGATCATATGGTTTTTATCCTTTTCTCTTATTGATGTGATGTATCCTGTTGATTGATTTGTGAATAGTATCAAAATAAGTATACATTATTTTCAAAATATGTTGTATTGTAAAATGATATCTTCAAAACTATTATAATCTTCTTGTGATTTATAACAGTCCAAATCTTCAATTATATTTTCAAGTATGAAATACTGATTATCTTGGTAACATTTGAACAGCAAGAAGAGTTTATATTCTTCCCATAATGCAAAATATCTTTTAACTTATATAAATCTCTGACATCTCAGAAGGATTGTGTTAAAATGGAGGAGGCAGGTGTCATAAATCTTTATTCTTTGGTATAGAATATATAGTAGCTGAGTGTTAATTGCTTCCAATATTTTAGCATTTATATAAAGTAATAGGGAATTTTTGGATTCAGGTTTTAATGGCAGTAGTCCTACATTGACTAATAATTTCTAGAGGTGGTTATATTCCCTAATAATTTCCTTATATCAAATAAATGAAGTTATTGTTCCAAGGAGAATGCATGAAAGATGGCATTCATTTTCTACATGACTAGAATTTTCTTATGCAACATGCTGCTGGCTGTGGGACTCTGAGGCTTCTTTTTGTTTTTCAAAGCACGATTCTGCTTAACTGTTAACTCTGCGCTTGTGCTTTATTTGCAGCATCTGGCGAGGCCCCAATGTGAACTGCACAGACAGTTCGGGTTACACTGCTTTACACCATGCAGCCTTAAATGGACATAAGTAAGTGTTATTTATTTGGACTAGAAACCTGGTGTATTTAGTTACATGTAATGAAATTCATTATGTTGATAATACCTATCTCATGTTGCCAGGAGTTTCCTGGGCTTAGGTGAATTTGAAGAGGCACTGGGTGGCAACACTGACAATTTAAACTTGGTAAAAATGTTGCTGTAGATGATTATGTGCAGAGTATAAACCAAGAGAATTGTTCTAAAATAGTCAAATATCATGCAAGAAGAATAAAAGAAGTGACAGGACATGTTAGTTATGTGTAGTTTTCGGCGGGGGAGAATGGTATAAAACCAATTAGTAATGCCACCCTACCTTTTTTGGGTGTCTTTATCTAACATGGGGAGTATTCACCAAGAGTAAAATCTTAATAGGTTCTTACTATCACTATGAACCTCTTCAAAATCCTTCAAATTTAGGAAATACGCTTTTTCTTTGTCATTCAAAATAGTCTTTATAAAGGTTTTAAATTTCTTTAACCTTTGGAATTATGTTTCAATAATGTGATAGCCTACAGTATGGACAGTGAAAGACTGTGTAACCATCACCATCATTTCATTTCTAGTGTTTTATTTAGGTTACCTAATGGTTTACTGACAAAATGTGAGGAGTCTGAATGATTCAGATGTTCTGTTCTCCCCCATCAGAAAGAAAGGGACTCTTCATGTCTCCCTTTCCTTTCTGTTTTTCCTTTGCTCTAATGATCCAAATTATTAGTCTTCCCAGACTTGGATCATTTCATTTTACTTTTACTTCAGTTTTTTAAAGATTTATTTATTTTAGAAAAAGAGAGAGAGTGTGTGTGTGCATGCACACGCCAGGGGAAGGGCAGAGGGACAGAATCTTCAAGCAGACTTCCCACTGAGTTTGGAGCCTGACTTGGGGCTTGATCCCATGACCCATGAAATCACGATCTGAGCTTGACCAAGAGTTGGATGCTTAACTGACTGAGCCACCCAGGTGCCCCCATTTTACTAGAGTTTTTTTAGATGTAGTAATTACTGCCTTAAAAATGCTAGTTACAAAAAAAAAAAAGCTAGTTGCTTTTTGCTTTCCCACATAACTGTTCCTTTATTTTGTGAATTGAGACACAAGATCCAAGTCACACTTGATTACATTTTATGGCCTTAAAGTTCTCACAAAAGAAACACCCTTTTTGTCATTTATTACTATGACATTTTTTATTTTTAAACTTACTGCATAATCTAACATTATCACTGTTTGGATATGGAGATATATATGTATCTATCTACCATATATAATTATACATATACATATAATCATAAACGTAATGTTTCATCATTTGGGTTCTTAGTATTAGAATCCCCAAACAACATTTCTTTTTATCCACTCCCTATTCTATATTATATTTCTTATACATGTAACTTAGAACCTTTTATTGTGCTGGGTCTTTTTCAAAATATATTGCTGTCCTTCTGTAGAGTGTAAAATGTATACAGATACCTACAATCTGAATGTTTTAAAGGGATTACTATTTATTCTTCTTTGTACCATCAGGAATGAAGGCAAATTAAATCAGCCCAATGAATACAATGCTGATGGCTTCTTTGGTCATCTTAATTGTGTGTTTAGGGGGATTTCAGTTAGGAAAATAATTGGAAAGACAAACTATCAGATCTAATGGACAGAAGATCTTGGGCCTGAGCACTGGAGCTATCCTACTTTTCTTGTTCTATCTTAACTTGTCATGATAAGCACTTCTCAAAATAATGTTGTCCCAAAATGGATTAGCATTCATATCCATCTGTGGTTTTCAGTGGTTAGTAAATGTTTTTGATTTATACGTGATGGCCTATCAAGTTCTAACCGTTGAGATATATTTCCCTTTGGTCCACTGCATAATTTTTCATTTCTATTAGCAATGTACAAAGTAAAGATAATTTAAGCGAATTGATTAGCAATCATTAAGATCATAAAGAGGGCGGATTTGACTAGATATCTTAGCTATCTTTTAAGAGCTCTTTAATTGCAGATATTCTCTGAGAATTATATATCTCTGCTTTTATATGCAGATCCCATCTTTTTAACACTTTCTAGAAAGATTTTACTCAGTGTCATTCTATAGGCATTGGAAAAAAGCAGAAGACTTCTAATCCCATCTTCCCATCTCTGCTAGTTATATGTCTTGAGCCATTTAATTAACCCGTCTAGGGCTCAGTTCAGTATAATGAATACATAAGCTGGACATTTTCCATTGTTTCTTTCAATTATAACATTTTGTGATACACTGTTTTGGTATTTGTGGCTCAGTTATGTACTATGATGCTACAATTCTGAAATTTGGATTTTCATCTAGAGTGTAATCTCTTTACTTAAATTACCCGTGGATTTTTAAAATTAGAGATGGTTTATTCAATCTTGCCCCCTCCCTTCCCTCAGTTTATAGATGGAGAAATAAGCCCATTCTGGATAAATGACATACTGGTCACTTAGATATTAAGGAGGGGCTGTGTTTAGACTTTAAGTGTTTTAGTTCTAAGTGCATGCTTTTACCATGACTCTACATTATCCTCCTTTTGTGGCTCTATGCACATTAGTTTTCTAAACTCTTGCTGGCTTTCTCTGTTCTATTATCTATTTCTGGGCTGCCTCCCTTTATCATCAACTAGTGTGTTCACATAGAATGCTAAAATACTGGCTTAAGAAAAGATACTTGAAGGAGAAAAAAAGTCATAGTATATATCTCAGAGCCAGAGAAGAATGTTTTTTTTCTTTTCTTTGCCTCTGCTTTTCTCACTTAGCAAGGTAATGAACAATTGATTATTTTGTATTCTTCCCAAGCAAGCCTTAGCAGTCAGCACAGAAACACATCATTTCCATGTTTGTTGCTATTGTTGTTGTAGCCTCAGCTGTAGATTGTTTCCAAAAACATGATTTCTAGGCTAAAGTTCATGGAATCATAGAGCTAGCAGTAATAATACAGGGTTCTGTAACTTCTTATTTTGCTTTGAACACAAGCTTTTCTCCTACCCTCAACATACAATCTAAGCCTTCATACTGCAAATTAAGCCTGTTTTATATCCTCTTATTTTGTGTGTTTTACTGGGGTCTCTTGTTTATCAACTCTAGTTAATCCACAAGTAGAGCAGCATTTTGTACCTGAAATACATTATTTCATAATGAACAGTTCATCTCCACTTAGCCAAATCCAGACACAATAGAAAATGTACTTCTATTAGTGATTTCCTGGGTCATTTGTAATTGCAGATTAGAAAATTATTAACTTCGAATGATAGAAAAAAACACGGTCAATAGAAAAAAATCCACTAGCAATGATTATAAGTTATTTCAATAGATAGGCAAGAGACCTATTTCTGTTTTTCTTTTTTATAATGTGAAAGATCCATTTCCTCTCTCATGTATTTCTGCTACAAATCTGGCTCTCTGAATTCTCTCCTGAAGACATTAGCCAGCCAGCCGGCCTGCCTTTCTGCCTTTCTTCTTCCCTCTCCCTCCTTCCCTCACTTTTTTCCTCCCTCTTTCCCTTCTTCCTTCTCTTCCTCTCTCCTCTCCTTTCCTCTTTTCTTTTTCTAATCTTTTCTTTTTAATAATAATCTTACTGTTCACTGTAAGGTTTTACTAAACATGTGTATTCATATTTCAGTTCTCCTTCTCTTAGCAAATTATTTCAGTTCTCCTTCTTAGCAAATTATTCCTTTTCTTTTTTTCTTGTTAAGTTTCATCTCATTAAGCTATATTGGGCACACTGTGATTCTTGGATGCTGTTTTGAGAACTGTCAGCACTAAACTGTTATCATTTATAACTTCGAAATATGTATATTCTTTGTTATGTGTCGGGTTTAAGTATTTGCTGTTCTTGCTTTTCATTCTCTAAATATTTAATGCTTGAATCCTAGACTCCATTATCTGAAATCCAAACTGTATCTCAAATTATATCTAGAATCCAGATAGTAATTTATGTGTACTTTTGATTTACTCTTTCTTAGGTTTTCTAATGAAAGAGAACTTCTTCTAAAAATTTATATAGTCTGGTCCATAAAGTTTCTCTTTGGATAACCTAGAAATAACTTTGATCTGATTGCTTCTTTCCTGGATTAGGATATTAAATAGTTAAAATTTGTTCTTATTCACTCTCCCTGGAAATCTATGTGAGTGAATTCAGTATAAAAAGGAGCTCCAGTTAGAAAATTAGGAGTGGATTGTCCTAAGGTCTTTTGACCATGTCAAACACGTTTGCAACTCTATTTCTGTTAAGGAGGAGTAAAATCTTCAAGAAAGTCTGAAATCAAAAGGGCCTTAATTAATGTGAGAATTTCATTAGTTTGTTAAATACTCTATCCATATGAAGATGATTTGCATTTATTTCAAAGTTCTTTGGACTAGTAACGAGGAAGGATGGAACAAAATAAATGTCTTTGGTTATGACTTAATTATAGGGAAATTTGCTTTTGAGGTAAAGAAATTTGAATTTTGAACCTTCCCAATTAACTTAATTTTGCTCAGAACATATCCTGAAACTTCTTAAAAGATATATCATATGGATTAGAAGTATATTCAGATCTATCAGAAAATGATACTAATTATAGTACCAAAAATTAATACTTTTAGAATTTCTGTTTTTACCTGAACTTATGTATTAGCCTCAAGCTGCAAAATGTTGCAATAATTTTTTTTTAAAGATTTTATTTATTTATTTGAGAGAGAGAAGGAGAGACAGTGAGAGCACAAGCGGAGGGGAGAGGGAGAAGTGGGCTCCCCACAGAGCAAGGAGCCCGATGTGGGCTTGATCTCAGGGCTCGATCTCAGGACCCTGGGATCATGACCTGAGCCGAAGGCAGAGGCTTAACTGACTGAGCCACCCAGGTGCCCCAAAATGTTGCAATGATTTAAGTTGCATTATTATTAAATTTAATTTGATATTTTGTTTTACTCCTGGGAAATGGAATTGTTTTTTCTGTGATCTCATCGACCACATTTACTTTAGGATTTTAGAGCAGTTCTTACTTATGAAATGCTATATATAAGAAAGAATGCCACTTTATGATCAAGATATAGATGTTACTTCACTGTTTGCTATTTTATGGACATTGTTCATCAGTATAATTTAATATTTCATGCCCAGTAACCAAGTGCAGTCAACATGTTCATTTGAAAGATATAAGGAACAACTTAAATAAAAAGAGAATCAATAGGGTGACTGCATGCCTCAGTTGGTTAAGCGTCTGCCTTCAGCTCAGGTCATGATCGATCCCAGGGTCCTGGGATTGGGCCTCTCCTCAGGCTCCCTGCTCAGCGGAGAGTCTCCTTCTCCCTCTACCCCTACCTCCTGCTCATGATCTCTCTTTCACTCTTTCTCTCTCTCAAATAAATAAAATCTTTGAAAAAAAAAGAAAATCAATAATACTGATTTGGGTAGGATCCCAGTGTTAAATACCATTCTAGTTTAGATATTATAGATAGTACCCAAAATTTAATTTTTTCTTAATGAATATGCAGGAAAGGGGCCTGTTTAATACATTATTACTTGTGATATACGTGGATACCTCATAAGATGTATAAATGACGGTTGATTAATATTTTATTTATGATTCAGTAAGACTGACAGGCACATTTTTATCAGAAATATAACTTCATATTTCATAAATACATTTTCACATTAGAAATCTGAGCCATGCCTATTCATTAGCTGATGTCTGCGAATAAAATGAGCAAGTTTGGGGCACCTGAGTGACTCAGTTGGTTAAGCATCTGACCCTTGATTTTGGCTCAGGTCATGATTTCAGGGGTGTGGGGTGGAGGCCCAGGCAGGGCTTCCTGCCCAGGGGGAAGTCTGCTTCTGTCCTCCTCCCTCTGCTTCTTCTCTCACTGGCTCTCTCTCTTTAAAAAAAATAAACAAATTTAGTAAAATGAATTTAAAAAAAAACGTAAATATAGGGCACCTGGGTGGCTCAGTCGGTTAAGCGTCTGCCTTCAGCTCAGGTCATGATCTCAGGGTCCTGGGATCGAGCCCCAATTGAGTCGGGCTCCCTGCTTAGTGGGGAGTCTGCTTCTCCCTCTCCCCACTTGCTCTCTCTCTCTCTATCTCACTCCCTCTCTCAAATAAATAAAATCTTTAAAAAAGGTAAATATAATAGTATTTAGTTAGTATTGTATTGTTCACTGGAGGCAATTTCATAGGCATACAGATTATTCTTTTCAGATTTACGTATTAGGTAGTGGTAATATGACACAATACAAATGTCAGTAAGTTAGTTTTTCATTATTTCATCAATCTTCCTGATAAATAAAGAATGAATGTATATCACATACATTATTAGAAAATGTCAAGAAGAATTGAGCCGAAGAACAAATTAAACTCTGAATGGATTTCATGAGAGTAAAAGAAAATAGGATTGATAAACCCATTAAACTTTCCTCTTACCCTTTGAAAGTAAATGCCTTTAGAAGTCTTAGATTATTTTTTTAATTGGCTAGGCATTGAGGAATAAAGTTAAAACTCTTCACAGAAGTATCTTTCTCTGATATATAAATTTGGAGAAGTCTGTTTTGTGACTAGTATAAATTCTACTTTTTAGATCCAGATAATTAACTGTGTCTTCTTTTGGTATCGTTTTACCTTTTATGTAAATGCTGAAATGCGGGGCGCCTGGGTGGCTCAGTGGGTTAAGCGTCTGCCTTCAGCTCAGGTCATGATCCCAGGGTCCTGGGATCAAGCCCCTGGGATCGAGCCCCACATCGGGCTCCCTGCTCAGTGGAGGGCCTGCTTCTCCCTCTCCCACTCCCCCTGCTTGTGTTCCCTCTCTTGCTGTCTCTCTCTCTGTCAAACAAACAAACAAACAAACAAATAAATAAAATCTTAAAAAAAAATAACTGCTGAAATGTTTCATTAAAAAAAAATCACTGGGATTGCTAAACATTGCTGCAACTTACCTTGAGAATAGTGTTTGTTTGCATACGATTTTACAGTCATACCTGTTTTTTATTTGATTCACACCAACCCTTTTGAGGCTGGCAGGAAGATGTAGCCTCTGAATTCTATTTTAACAATATCTGAAAGACTGACAGAAGCTATTTGATTTGCCTAAGGTAACCAAATTAGTAAGTAGAAAGTTGGAACTCTAAAACAGATATTCTGATTTTTAACTGCTTTTTTAATTCATTAGTATTGAATCCTTCTTATCACATTGTAGTTATTTATCTCAGAATAGAAGACGCTATAAAGTAACTTTTGCATGGCAGAGAGGTGAGGAGAAATATGTGCATTTGACAACCTTCAAAGTGTCCTTCTGATTTTCATATTTGTTTTTGCAAAGATGATTTGCTGAAAGCATTTTTATTTTTAAAGGATTTTATTTTCACTTGGGACAAGAACTAGTATTTTTGTACAGCTCTTTACTATTTATTGAGTGGCTTCTGTGATCTCATTTAAAGCTCTTACCAGGCATGACCAGTGGGTGTTATTATTATTACAATATCCCCTACAGAAAAGAAAAAGAAAGACAAGACTAAGTAATTTCTCTAGGGTCACATCATTAGGTAGTTTGTGTAGCTAGGACTCAGATCCAAATCTTCTAAATTCAGGTTTTATAAAATACTCCTGGTTCTTATAAAGAATATTAAAGTGAGGGCGCCTGGGTGGCTCAGCCGTTAAGCATCTGCCTTCGGCTCAGGTCATGATCCCGGGGTCCTGGGATCGAGTCCCACATCGGGCTCCCTGCTCAGAGGGAAGCCTGCTTCTCCCTCTCCTGCTGCCCCTGCTTGTGTTCCTGCTCTTGCTGTCTCTCTCTGTGTCAAATAAATAAATAAAATCTTAAAAAAAAAAGAATATTAAAGTGAGATTTTATTCTTATTTTCTCTGAAATTGTATCATTAGAAAATTTATTACTCCATGGAACAGTCTAAATATTTCTACAACATATTCTTGGTTCTTCCATCATGATTTCGTACATTTATCTAAGTCCAATGTTTCATATGTGGGGGAGAAAGAATAATTTTCCCTTTCCCTTCTGGGTTTTTGGCTGAGGAACCCCCACTCCCCCCCCATAATAAAAAGGTAGATAACAAGAGAAAAACAAGAAGTTTAGTAATATATATACCTCTTGTGTATACATGGGAGATACCCAGAAAAACTGAGTTAACTCTCTTTAATGGCCCCTGCCACCACCTTAAAAACCATTTCCTGCTAAACATAAAATAGATGTTTGTTGAGGGGAACTAGTTATGGGAGGTTATTAGGAAAAGCACAATAAAAAAGTTGTGGGGTTGTTACTCAGATTTAAGTTTCTGCCTCCCGCCTTGTTAAGAGTTTCTAAGAGATTTAGAGTTCATTATCATTTTCTGGTACAAAGAGGGAGACTCCCTTACAAATGAAGTTTTCCTTATAGATTTAAATGTCTCTTAGAAAAAGGTAACTTCTATTCCGTTTTCAGAGGTCTAACAACATCTACTCTTTCTTAAAAGTAATCAGCCGAAAATAATACTTATGCCAAAGAGGTATATTTTGGGATGGTATATTCTCCCCTTTACAAGTTCAGACCACACTCTGGGCATTCATTATATTTTACCCTTTACTGTAATGTTTGTATCATGTCTATTTTGTGTGTTTGTGGGGAGGTAGCTATAACTTCTATTCAGACTTCCTCCAATTTTTCTTGTTACTTTACATTTAAAGTCTGGCTTCATGAAATATTTAAATTTAGCTCTTTGTGTTATATTTGTTCTTACTACCAGTGATTTGTTATATATGAGAAACTTTAGAATTTATTGTAACTGGTTACACACACACACACACACACACATATAATGTGTGGGATTTCATTTAGTGAGTTAATAGAATTTGCTTCATAAATGCTTTAAGTAAAAATAGAGTTTTTGTTTAGAATTACTATTTTTGTTTGTTTGATACAAAATTCAGTTTAATGTGTACCAAAAATTAGTAAGTCTTCTTTAGGTTGAGTATTGCAGTTCAGAATTTTTACTTTGAAAACTAGGTGGGGATTGAGTACAAAATGTTTATAGGTAGGGTATATTGAGTATGAATTGATATTGGATCAGTGATGGAACTTGTCTCATGAATGAATTTCCTTCTTGAATTTTTTTCTTAAGCTTGGAACAGAGAGGTGAAGGAGTGCAGATGTATGAATAGCACATATTCAAAATATGTTGTGTGCCATGGCTGAGAAGCTATTAACTGCCCCCCCTTTTCTACTGTGCTGTCTGCTTTCTCTTTTATATGCATCTTCAATTCCTTATTCCAAGTCTCTATAGGAATGATGTATATAAATAACCTAAATGTCTCTTAGTAGTATGATGTTTGTGTGTGTGTGTGTGTGTGTGTGTGTGTGTGTGTGTGAGAGTAAGGAATTTGCTTATCCTCTGCTTTTCCTTCACGCTAAATCTCAGGTATGGGCTATTTGAGAAAAACTCCTTTTTAAAAAAAATGGGAAGAGGCATTTTAAAAAAAATGTTTTACTTATTTCATTCAGTTATGAAATTAGATACATTTTGCCCAAATGAATTCCATTAAGTGCTTTCATTGGTTAGTCAGTGCTCTGTGTGTGTATGTATGGTGGTGGTGGTTTTCCAGGTAAGTAAAATAGCCAAATGTTGAATAGGCTAACTCTTACACCAAATTTTATATCTCTTACTCTAAATTTCTAGCCAGCATCTAGTATATGTTCATAATTATCTGTTCACTGAAATCTTTGTGTTTAGCATATTTTCTTTTCTGTTCTTTTTTTTTTTTTTCCCCCTCTCAGGGACATAGTTCTCAAACTACTTCAGTATGAGGCATCAACAAATGTAGCAGACAACAAAGGTTATTTTCCCATTCACCTGGCTGCCTGGAAAGGAGATGTAGAAATTGTGAAGATTCTTATTCATCATGGACCATCACATTCCAGAGTCAATGAACAGGTGCACTTGTCAAATATTTGCTCATGCTGTAGTTTTTCTAGAGGTTTGCAAAGGCAACGCCACATTGAAAAATTGATTATTTCTGTCATTACCCTGCCAAAGACCTTTCACTGTTAAATTCCCTAAAGGAGAAATTGAAAAATTCTTTGGCACTTGTATTAGGTACATAGGTCCTAAGTTGGGCTTTTGTAAAGATATTTGTTAACAAGAGAATACTACATAAAGAAAGTAATATTTTTGCCTAACTATATAAGCATCCATTTGTAGTTTTTGAATATTTAAAGATAGGACAGAATTCACATTTATGATATGAATTAGAGCTTTTCTTAATAAAATTTTAAATGCTAAAACAATGATGGATTCATTTGCAGAATACTCTCCATTTACTTCCACACTTCCATAGCAAATACAGTTTTGTGAATCAAAATGCAAAATACAGTATAAACCATTGGTAGTCACATATTAAGTTAAAAATTTCCTGTATGTATGCCCAGAGTATGTTGAATAAAACACAGCAGCAATATACTGACAGATAAAGTAAAAATATTTTCAAGTGCATAATATCCATATTACACATAACTGACATATTAAAAAAGGAATGCCATTCTTAGTATTCTAAATAAATAAGACCACAGATTTCTGAAAGTAAAATACAGGCCCCTAGTACAGTATGGTAATAAACATCTTGAGCTCTGCATGCCCCCTACTGTTTCCATTTTGTAAAACTATATTTGAAAACCAGCATGTAGTCCAACAATTGAATTACAACCATGGCATTAAGCTGCAGGTTGGCAGTTGTCCAATATCAATGTAAGTGGTTACTCTAGGGTAAGCACATCTAATAAAGTGCAATTTAGCATACTGTTCAAATGAATACAGACTTTGCAGGCCTTTGACTGAAATTCAGACTAAAGAATAAAAAGTAACACTGGCACTAGCTATAAACACCAAAGGGAAGAAAAATACGTTTTTTCCCCAGAAAAATGCAGTTATAGAAATAAAGTTCCTCTGAGTAGGAAAAATGTTGTATTAATTGGAAGTGTCTTATTAATAATTATCACAAAATATCTATGTTTATAGGTTACCAAATGAAGTGTATTTTTATGCGAATACATTCATAAACTCAGTCTTTAAAAAATGACAGATATGCCTATCTTTATCAGCATATCATGCTAAAGGGAAATTTAAGGGAATGCTGTTCTGTTTTTCAGAAAATCAAAAGTAAAAGATCATTTGTGGGATGAGCCATCTGGTGGTTATTCTTAAAACTGTCTGAATACCCCAAAGTGAACCTGAAATAGTAAGATGGAAAAACAATCCAAGGTTAAACAAGAAGATGTTAGTTTTTACAAGCAAAATATTTTTTAAATGACGTGAAAATAAGAAAAAATACTTAGAATTCATTTGTATTTGAAAGTTGCTTTGTCTTGTGGATTCTACTGGAAATAAATTAAAAAATTTCTTGAGATTTTTAATACCATGCTGTCAGTATTTGTTATGTATATGGTACTCCTCTAGTGCTGATGTATTTCTGTCATTTAGTGTCATTTCCCCTGTTTCTGATGTGGGAATTTTATTTTTGTAAAAGTAACTTTTCATTTTAGCTTTATTTCTTGTTTTCCCCCCCTGAGTGGGGTAGAAATGTACTAGTTACTTATAAACCTTTATGTATTTAAGCAACAGAGGGGAGAAATGAAAATAATAAAGATATATTGAGACATGGTACTTGACATAGCCAAATACCATGCTAAGCACTTTTACCTATAATATGTTATTTAATTCTCACAACCCTTGAAGTGATAGTATCGCTCCCATTTTATAGATGAGAAATTAGGCTCAGTAAAGCTAAATAAGTCATGTAAGGCCACACATTACTGAGTGACTAAAACTCAGACTTTGGGCTCTAATTCCAGAGCCCTCCACAATAGCATATTGGTATTGTCATCATAAATCCTGTCACTTATGGATTGTTTTCTATATGCCAGGCAGTGTGCAAAGTACTTCATCTATTATCTTACAAAGCTCTACTGCATCCTGATGAGATAGGGATTAATTATTGTTCTTATTTTATGTATGGGAAGCTACCTTAGAGAGATTAAATAACTTGCCCATGATATCACAGCTACTAAGAAATGCACTACATATTTGAATCTAGGTTTTTCTGATGCAAAGCTCAAACTCCTAACCAATTATGCTCCATGTAGTAAAATTATGTATAATTGTCAGGGCTTAGTTCTGATTTCTGAACGTAGTCTTTGGTTTCTAATACAGCTTTCTTTCAAAATAATTCTGTCTTATATTTTGATATTTAACATTTACAAAGCATTTGCCTGTATGTTATTTCTTTTGATTTATAAGCTATATTCTAAGGTTTATAGGGAGGGTAATATTCACATTTTTCTGATAAGATAGGTTCAGAGAGATCAAGTGTGTGTCAGCACTTCAACATAGGTCACCATTCTATACTGCCCTAGAATTAGTGGCCAATTTGACAACGTAATTTTGGAAAACAAAGTAGACCTTGCCCTGATTATGGTTTTCATATTTTTTATAATTGTTACATCCTTCCTCTCTTTTGTCAACTGATTTATTATTTCCTTTTTTTGATGTTATATATATTTGCATTTTATGTTTCTCTGTTCATCTCTTCCTCTTTTTTTTTTTAAAAAAAACATTAGGGCAAAAACAAGAGGAGCCCCATCTGATAAGTATATTCCCTTACCATTTACTAAAACTCAAACCTAACTAATGTTAATTTCCATTAGTTTTACCGTGAAGCAAGATCTTTTGGTAAACAGCTTTTGTCAGCCAGTTTTGTTCTGCTAGAAGTAGAAGTGTCCTAATTTTGTCTAGAAGTAGAAGTGTCCTAATTTTTTGGAGAACACCCATTTGGTAAAAAAGAGGGAATTCAGAACTCAAGAATGTTCATTGTAGACATAAGGCAATTATTAATCAGTGCTTCTACACAGTCTGTATTTCAAAGCAGATTCTTTTAGATCACTTGTTAGTACAGATACATGTATACTAGTCATGCCTTTTATAAAGGTACCACGGTTGTGGTCTTCCTGATGTGACAGTACAAGTATGTGTTGATCATGGGTAAACTATGAATATTTTCTCCTGAGTAAGTCTGGCATGATTGAAATAATTTTTCTTGAGATCTGAACAATCTAATTGGTGTTAATAGAAAAAGTTTCAGTTTTACACTTATAGTTTCCTATGCTAAGGCCTCTGCAAATGTAGAGATGTGTTTGAGGAATCATTATTTTGTAATGGGCTCTTCTTTTTCTCAAAGAGGTGCTGTGTTTTGAAAGTTGAGTTTCTTTTTAACCACGGGAAAATTTGATTTGGTCGAAGGCGTATTTCTATATCATATTTTTATTGTATAGGGTAATAGATTGATTTTCTTATCAGGCTTATAAAACTTAGCCAGATAAGAAAAATCAGGGAATGTAGACCTGTGTAGACCTGTATGTGGTCAGTCTCTATGAGGAAGTAGACTGTAGCAGCACATTCAAACTAAGAACAAGAATGACTCCTCCTAAAATGTTGGAAGAAACAGTGCCTTCAGCTGGATTCCCTGTCTATCCAATCTTAATGTCTTGGTGATTATCTCCAAGAAGTAGGTATTTTTTCTGGGTTTGGCCTTTAAAAAGCACTCTTCTGATACTTTTATTTGGAAGGTAAAGTAGTAAGAAGTCTTTCATAGTGCTCATTAAATTTTTTTTTTTTTTTTCGGCCACTCCTCTAAGTTTTTAAATCCTCCCTCTGCTCTTAACTCTCTACTTTCAACTTATCTGCATCCTTCAGCCAGAGCAAGTCTGAATTACTTTCGGGAACATTAAGATTTACTTGGGTTTGAACCCTGTTTGTCCTTTTATATGGTCAGAGCAGCTATCTAAGTAGCTAGTTCCTGTTACAACTCAGTTGGTGTTCTTTTGAGCAAAATCTGTAGAAATTCTGCTTTCAGCGCTAATTTCCTTTTCTTCTCTGACAATATAGCAATACTTGGCAGGCAGTGTGGTGTAGGGGAAATGAGACAATGTATATGGTTTTTAAACATTCAGCAAATGACAGTAGTAATAGTTGTTATTGTGGAAGGTGGTATTAAGAGCAGTGACTTCGTGGGGGGGGGGTGGCGACGGGGTGGCTCAGTCGGTTAAGCATCTGCCTTCAGCTCAGGTCATGATCCCAGACTTCCAGACTTCTGGGATAGAGCCCTGCGTCAGGCTCCCTGCTCAATGGGGAGTCTGCTTCTCCCTTTCCCCCTGCCCTTCCCCTGCTCCTCTCTCTCTCTCTCTCTTTCTTGCAAACTCTCTCTCAAATAAATAACATCTTAAAAAAAAAAAAAAAGCAGTGACTTTGGGTTCAGATCCTGGCCCCAACACTAAATGGCCATATACTTGAAGGCTAGTTATTTAACTACTCAGTGCCTCAGTTCCTCATCTGTAAAGTGGTGATAATGATAATAATAGCAGAGTGAAGGTTAGAGTACACATAAATGGAATGCAACTGTGCCTAGTACATAGTGTTAGCTCTGATGATGGCAGCCTCTTCTCTCTAGAACCCTTACTCAGGATCATTGCATTTTTGTTATTAAAATTTCTGGTTTACATTTCTCCTGACTGATCTTCTACCTCCTGACATAGTCATATACAATCTGCCTACACCATTTGCCCAAATGGACTGAAAGGTCCATCTGCCTTGAGATGGGGTTTAGTTTTCTCTGTTTTAACATTTAAAAAAAATTTTAATTCCAGTGTAGTTAACATACAGTGTTATATTCATTTCAGGTGTACAATATAGTGATTCAGCAACTCCATATATTACTCAGGGTTAATCAAGATAAGTGTACTCTTAATCCCTGTCACCTATTTCACCCCCCCCCCCGACTCCCCTCTGGAAACCATCTCTGTTCTCTATAGTTAAGAGTCTTTTCTTGGTTTCTCTCTTTTTCTTTGTTCATTTGTTTTGTTTCTTAAATTCCACGTATGAGTGAAATCATATGGTGTTTGTCTTTCTCTATCTTATTTCACTCAGCATTATACTCTCTTGATCCATCCAGGTACAGTTTTTATCTTGCTAAATTTCCTGGAAAATCTTGATTTTCAACTGAAACACTTATTAGGTGCATATGTAATAATGTGATACTCCTTGTAACTTGTCTGGTGGTGGGTTTAAGTCTGCCTCTCAAACCATAATTATATTTCAAAAATACATGATTTAAACTTAGGGCCAGTATGTCTTCATTCTCTTTGCGAAAGAAGCAACGATTTGTACTTATATGGAAAATAAAATGAAACTTAATTTGGGAAATCTTTCCATAAATCTTTCATTATCAAGAATTTACCATCTCTTTTGGAAAGCCAGTCTGTTAAAAGTGGGTTATAATTGTTATTAATCTCTCTCATTAACAAATGTCATGGAGGCATGATGCACAGTACAGATAACACTGACCATCTGGGCCCAGCAGGGCCACTGACTAACATGGCTAAATCATTTATCACTCCTGGAAATTGGAATATATAATGCAGGGGAAAATTTGATTTTTCCTATTGAAATGATTAAAAAATGTGATTTTTTGGTGCAGTAAATGATAGATACTTTAACGAATATTCTATTAGGCATACTTATTAAAATAGATAAATCTTAAACTTACATTTTTAAAGTATCTCAGGTTTTAAATTACTGTTTAGATTTTGATAATTGAATTTCTGAAAACTTGAATCTTATATCTTTGTCTTAACAGAACAATGAAAATGAAACTGCCCTGCACTGTGCGGCTCAATATGGACACTCAGAAGTAGTTGCTGTTCTCCTAGAAGAGCTCACTGATCCTACCATCAGGAACAGTAAGCTAGAAACACCTTTGGATCTGGCAGCACTCTATGGGCGACTTAGGGTGGTCAAAATGATCATCAGTGCACACCCTAACTTAATGAGCTGCAACACTAGAAAGCACACGCCGCTCCACCTCGCTGCTCGCAATGGTCACAAAGCAGTCGTTCAGGTGCTATTGGAAGCGGGAATGGATGTGAGCTGTCAGGTGAGTCTTTTATGCTTTAAAAGTGATGATGCTCTTGCTTTGCTTTGAGATACAGACATTAAAACTTCTATGTAGAAATCTTTTCATTTTTAATTAAATTGTCCAAAATACTTTTATAACTGTTAAATTCAAGATGCTGTGCTACACAGTGCTGGGAAATATGAAGAGATATAAGGCATAATTTCTAACCTCATTCTAATTTTAGGGCTTTATGAATGAAAAATTATTATTAGAAGGCTGTTGTGTGTGGTATCATTAGTAATTGTTCCCTCCCAGTGTCAGGCACACAGCTTGACATACGCTAGGAATCCAGTCAGAGTTGAATGAATTAAAGAATGAATCAAAATTCAGTTTAATACTTTTGAGTATGTACTTAGTGTTTAATATGTTGACACATTTTAGAATCCATTTTTCACAGCCCTCCTGTGGGATTAAGAGCTACTAAGTTCCAGTTAAGAGATTAGGAATCAGATTCAAAGAGTTAACAAAGTTGCCTAAGGATGTATAGCTGATAAACCTAGAATATGAATTTATACTTACTGATTAAAATCCAGGCCTCTTTACACAATAGTGAACTGTCTATACATGATTAATGAAGGAAAAATCACTAAGGGCAATCAGAAGGAATTTTACTGGAGAGGTGTGATTTGAGTTGAACTTTGAAGCGTGGATAACATTTGGAAAGGTTTCTCCACAAGGAAAGGGCAACCTACTTTTTTATTTTTAAGAGCAACCTACTTTTATTATCTGTTTCAAGTTAACTACAATTCCAAGGTTAGCTTTTTTTTAACTGTTTTTTCCTTTTATTACTGTTTTTTGTCTCCCAAGTCAGTGGCAGCATTCTTATCTTCCAGAGACCCTTTTGGTTCCTGTCAGATTGTGTCCTTCTCCCTTGTGTATTAGTAAGCTATTGCTGTATAACAAACTATCCTGAAACTTAATGGCTTAACACAGTAATACTTATTTAGCTCATAATTCTATGGTTGGTGATTTAGTGTGAACCTCACTGGGTAGTTCTGTCTTTGCTAAGTTCTCTCATGTGTCTGGGGTCAATTAGAAGTCAGTTGAGTGGCTCTGCTGTAGAGATTGACTGGATGTTGCCTGGGATAATGGGGAGGTTGCCATGTGTCTTTCATGATCCAGCAGGCCTCCTTGGGCTTGTTCACATGACAGTGGTATGGTTCTGTGTGCGTGCATGTGTGCACATAAGAGACAGAAGGAGGGAGGGAGGGAAGAGGGTTATACAAAGCCTCTTGAGTTCTAGGCTGGGAGCAAGCATCCTGTCTTTTCTGTAGTGTTTGATAAGCCAACATGTCACAAAGGCAGCCTAAATTCAAGGATTGGTAAAACAGATTTTACCTCTTAATTAGAAGAGGTTGTGAACTGTTAAAGGGGTGCAAATACCCAGAGGGAACAAATGCGTTCAGCTTTGCAACATTCCAAATGCTGTTAGTGCTCAAAACTGTGGGGTTACTTTTCCTAGGAATTGTTTAGAGGTTGAATTTTGTTTCTCCTTTGTTTTCCACTGAAGTTTTAAAAATCTTAGGCCTTATAAAATAAAATAAAATAAAATAAAATAAAATAAAATAAAAACCTTAGGCCTTCTCATCCTACGTTTCAGGCTGGTACCCTGAAACAGACTTTTCGTTGGAGCTTTGCCTGTCTTATTTAGCTATTTAGGTATTTATAAAATCTTTTCTTAATTTTTTATTTATTCTTCTTTCACAGCCTTGAAAATAAACACAAGAATTTTTTCTAGTCCTCATGTTAAAAAAAACCCCAATTTTCCCCTCAATTAAAATGAGATAGATACATATTTACTATTTTAAGTGACTCACAAAGTTACTGTCTTAAAGTGTGTTTAATGATAAGCTAGATGTTTATTGTCTGAATGTTGAATTTCTCTAATCTAGATTTACTGCTTTAATAAAAGTTCTGGAATATTTTTTTTAAAGATTTTATTCATTTGAGAGAGAGAGAGAGAGAGAGCGTGCACAAACGGTGGGGGAGGGACAAGCAGACTTCCCACTGAGCAGGGAGCCCAAAGCAGGCTCAATCCCAGGACTCCAGGATCATGACCTGAACCGAAGGCAGACACTTAACCAACTGAGCCACCCAGGCGCCCCAGACACTTCTGGAATATTTCTAAACTTGATGGCACAGAGTACTTCATAACCAAGGACTTCACTATGACTGAGATCAATAACTCACTTCATGTCCATGGCCTAGATCTTTTTATATTTTTTACTAGATGACGTGGCCAGAAGAGAAAGAGTCTGCCTTCAATTTTATGTATGTCTATGGTACATCTTTTTTATATAAAATACTACTTACTATATTATTTATGTTTTTGGAGAATTAAAGATAAGTAAGATCTCTGCCCAGAATTTAGTGGAGGATACGAAGACTTGCAAGAATACCTCCTATATATGACATACTAAAATAAAGAGTAGGGCAAAATGCTATGGAGAGATCAGTGAATAAAATATAAATTGTAAGAGGGAGGAATTGAAGAGACATAGAGTAATATTTGAAGAGGAGCTTGATGGCTTTAGGACTTTGAATTTAGGTATAACTTAGCTTGCAGATATGCATTATTTGGCTAAAAGAGTATTTTAAAATATTGAATTTGAATGCTTTTAGATGGGGTATATACCTTCCAAGGTCCCAACCTCTCTCTACCTCTTTCTACCATCTTCTATCATTGCCAGATTCGTTCCTTTAGGTGTTCTACTTTGCCGCAATAGCATTTGGGTTTGTTACTCATTTATCAGATGAAAGGAGCAAAATATGTTTAGACCACTGTGAACACTTATCAGAAGCATCAGGGCTGGTACCTGAGCAGGGTGGGCAATGTTTTGTTATTTATACTCACTCTATGATTTCATCTTGAAGGTTTCCAAGAATTAGAACTGACAACATATTCTAAAATATATCTCAATGAATTGAATCTTCTAGTATTTAGTTAACCTTAGTTGATGTTTTGCTTTTGTTATTATGCTTTATTTATAGAAAACATGCATTTTTTTTTATTTGTTTCATTGCCTTTTTTGGGTCAGTGTTTAATTTTATTATGGAATTCAAATGAACTGTCACCAAGTTTGCCCATCACATTCACTGCAGAGTTGTTGGGTTTTGTTTTGTTTTGTTTTGTTTTGTTTTTTTTGAGAGGGGGAGAGTGGGAGGGGAGGGGCAGAGGCAGGAGGAGAGAGAGAGAGTCTCAAGCAGGCTCCAAGTGGAGCCTGATGTGGGGCTTGATCTCACTACCCTGAGATCGTGACCTGAGCCGAAATCAAGAGTCAGACACTTAACCAACTGAGCCACCCAGGTGCCCCTGCTGCAAATTTTTTTAATATTAAATTTAAAGTAGAAATTTGTTGATATTCTTACTGGGTAAGAGGGAAGAATCAGGCAGTAACCTTAAATTGTTTCAGTGGCTTTAATATTCATTAAATTGTTGTAGTTAACCAGTTGGAAATTAGCAGTATTAAAAATAATCCCATTTGGTAAATTATAGCAATACAGATTTAGACTTTAATTACATTCAAATCATTATAAATAATTCTTTAAAATTTAGAGATGACTTTAGAGGATTGTCTTTTTTTCTTGTAATTGCAAATGTTTTAAAATGTGTAATTTATGTTTTTTCTGTATAAGTTTTGGTTTCTGCTTCATTTCTCTTGGAGCAGTTTTGAATTATAACACATATTTGAACTAATGAGAAAAATAATTTAATTCCCACTTAGGTGAATTTCATATTATATTTATGTATAAACCTGTTAGTCTTAAAGGATTTCTTAATACAGAGAATCCATCATATTAAGATATTAAGAAAATGGGTTTTATTTGGCAAGATCCTCTTGAAATTAGCAATTACTTCTATGGATTTCAAACCTGATTTGGGTAAGTAGGTAGTGATGGTGTCTTTTTATGCTAATGCTTTAAATGTGTTTCTTGTAAGTTTCTCTTATGAAAATTTAAAAAGTTAAAGTACTAGCAAAACATTAAGCCAATTGGATTTTATTTGAATATTAAAGGAAATGAAACTAAAATTATAGAAAATTAATAATGAAGAGTACAAGTTCCCATCCTAGGAGCTGTTAGGATGTAAAGCCGAGTAAGGTACCATTTTTGTTCTCTAAGTGCTTCTAGTGGAGAAATATGTGCTTAAATGGATAGATTACATTTTAATAATCCATTCACTCCTTCTTCCCTAGATGATTATTTAAAATTTCTCCTTTCTTCCCAAAACTTTAACATTTCCTCCCTGTTATCACTCTGTGATCATGACTTTGCTTTACTTCACTGAGAAAACAGAAGCAGTCATGTATTTGTACCACCACATTTGCCAGTGGATGTGTATTTGCTTTCCTTCCTGGTGCTTTAAATGAACTTTGGTTTATTCCTAAGGCTGACTCCTCCTCTACTTGTACACCTGATCCTCCCCTTAAAATACTGTGCATTTTCCCCTCTCAACTGCATCACTCCCATAAGGACACAAAGATGTTATAATATTTACATCTTTTAAAAAAAACCTCTCTCTTGAACCCACATTTCCCTCTAGCTCTTGTTCCCTTTCTCTAATCCCCTTCATAACAACATATCGAGAAAGAGTTGTTTTTACTCATTACATCATATTTCTTTCCCTCATTCTCTCTTGAAACCATTCCAGCTCCCTCAGTCTATTAAAAGTCCCTGTTTTTCCCTTTGATGAAGGGGACTAATGGCTTCCATATTGTTAGAGCCAATAGTCAATTCGATTAATCATCGGCATTGACAAAGTAGATCTCCTTCCTCTTTGAAACACTTTTTTCTTTTGACATCTGAGTCACCATTCTCTCTTGCTTCTCTTCTCCTTGGTCTTCAGGTAGGGTAGAGTCAGACCCTTGAAAGCCTTCCATTTAGCCTTGGAGCTAGATAAATCTATCAGGCCTTACAAACCTCTTATCCATAGGAGTTGCTCAAGAATTAAATCTTTCTGTTTTCTGTTCTTTTTTGTA